GATATTGTTCTATAGTTTCCACACTCTGTTGGGTCACCTTTCTTTGGAATGGGAACAAATATAGATCTCTTCCAGTCAGTTGGCCAAGGGGTTGTTCTCCAGATTTCTTGACACAACTTAGTGAGCACGTCCAGGGCAGTATCTGTTAGCTGAAATATGTCAATTGGTATACGCAAATTATCACAATTAGTAGTCTATAAATTGAATATAAACAATTTTTTTAAAAAAATTTTAAAGTAGCATAGTCCCTTCATTGTCCTCAAAGCAGAGCTGGCTTCTATCCTACTAATGTTCTGTACAGGATCTGATGGTTTTCTCCAGGCCCTTGTTGGGAGGGTAGCTATCTTACTAGAAGAAAGGCTGTCGACTCTGGGGTCTGATGAGCTGATAAATCCTGGATTTACCAAGAATTCTCATGCTATGACTGTGCAAGACACTTAGCCACTCAGTATCTTGTGCAGAAATTTGAGATAGTAATATTATGACTAATCGTTATAAAGGTTTAAAAATATGCACAATAAAGCACGGTACCTGATTATACATCAGATGCTCAAAACAAAACCTGCTCACATCACAGCCCCCTTCCCTATCCCTTTCATTTCAGTTGATATGAAATCAAATTTAAATCAAGATATTAAAAAATCTACATGACTCTTGTTGGAGAGTGTGCAGGGTGGTCTGCTCGCCCTCCCCAAAACAACCCAAGTCAGTCCTCATTGGACCATGGCACAATCATTAATTTTGTGGGACATTTCCTTGTCCTTGCAGTTCTTAGTTGTTATTTCTAGTGCTGTTCGGTAACAACTTGATAATATTTATTTGCAAATGCTGCCACATTTCTTGCTCTCTCCTAGTTCTCTAAGAAATGAGAGCAGCTGACACATTCCTGTAATGCTGTCTCCAGGCAGAAGGCCTGGCCCATACACACAAGAGCATTCAGGAAGACAGAGATGGTCCGAGTCAATGGAGGAGCAGACACTTCTAATTGTCTTAGATAAATGGAGTCAAGAGGCCTCCCGCTCCACACAGAACACCTCACAGAGGAAAAGAAAAGGTCTATGCCTGCTGTATGAGCCCCTTTGGCACTGTGAAAGTCAGAAGAGCCTAGAAAACATTCCTAGACGTTTCCAAGGCCCTAACTACAGAAAACGGTGAAGGAAATGACAGTGTTACCAGCAGATGAAATGTCAGGTAGCCACTGAAAATTAAGTGTACAGAAAATTGTTAAAAGGCATTAGAAAGTGCACATGCAAATATGTAAGGGGAAAAAAATTCCCAGGATGAAAAATTAGTATGTATCCAGATTTCCAAACCTCATTTACTTTTTTAATAAAATCCTACTGATAAAACAAAGACATTTGTCAAAATACAAGAACCAAAATCCTACAATGACTGCTTGCTCCAGGTGGGTGGGGCAACTGATTCTTCTCTGTGCTTTAATATGGTTTTTAAGTGGAATTTTCGGCATAATTCCTATGGTTCGAAAAGCTGTTTGGTTGTGGTCAATTGCAAAACAAACACAGAAGAAAGAACAAAAGAGCGATAATGAAAAGCCAGCCCTAGCAGGCGAGCAGAGCCTCCCTGACAGGGCCGAGGTGGCCGCTCATGGCAGAAGGCCCCCACGTACCTCCCACGAGCGTGACTTCTCCCACAGTCTTCCACTCAATTAGTTTATTCCCAAAGGTGGTCTCCACTCACCCTGAAAACTTTTGGAGTATTTTTCTGCTTTTTCTTGTTTTGCTGATGAGTGCTCCTGGTGCCATTCTTCTCTGGTAATGCTGCTTTTGGAAAAGCCCTTTTCAGACAATCTTCTTTGGTTTAAAATAATTTGCTTCACTTCCTCTAGAAGAGAAAAAAATCAGTCAGAAATACACAGAGTCGTCGTCGTGAGTCGGAACTGACCCATAGCTGACCCTCCAAGCCGGTTGTTAGAGGCAGTAACTCACACAGGAGGAGACTGCTCATCTGTCTCCTGCAGAGCAGCTGGGGGATTGAACCGTGTACCTTTGGGATTGCAGTGCAGCTTCTTACCACTCGGTCATATGACAGTCAAGGAGTCCTAGTGATGCAGCAGTTAAATGCTTGGCCGCTAACCAAAAGGTTGTTGGTTTGGACACAGCAGCTGCTCCACAGAAAGATGTAAGTCTGTTTCTGTAATCATGACAGCCTTGGGGATCTCATGAGGCCCCTTTTCTGTGTCTTTTAAGGTCTCTGTGAGCTGGAACTGAGTCCATGGGTTTACATGACTGTCACTCTCCTAGAGCTCGGGACAAGGAAATGTATAAAACAGAGATGACCCCAATCCACCTAGAGTTGCTGCCTAAGCGCTAGCTCAAAATACTGGGAAGCCAAAAAGGAAGGCTACACAGATGTTTGGGAGGAGGACAGATCTCAATTGATGAAAGGGGTTCCCTCCAAATCAGACCCTTGAGCAGTTGACATATATTGTTCCATGTAATTATCACACATTCAGGAAAACATTACTGATTTCCCTGATACACAGATGAGCAATTTGACATTTTAGTAATTCTCCTGTGGGCACAGGACTGGCCCAGAGAAAAGCCAGGTGTATGCCTGGGGCACCTGTTCCCAGCTAGGCAGTACTCCCTTCTCCCACTGCTTTTCCCATCTATCAAATCGGGGCCATGCACGCACAGGGCAGCAGTTACCTGTGTGGAGTAATGAATGAACAGAGGACTGACTGGATGAATGGAGATAACAGGAGGTCCCTATAAATGAGGCATCAGGAGCCACGATGTGAAGATGGAAATGAGATAAGCATGTAGCCAAGACTCTTGAGGAGCAAGTGATAAAATACCTTCAAGGCCAGACTTGCTGGCCAGCCACAAAAAATTGCAGAGCAACAAAGAACAAGCAGATTGAAGAGCAGAGCAATACTGTAGTGGGGATACTGCATGTGAAAAAGCTAACCAGTTCTGGATGTAACGTATCACTCATCAAAAGCAATGCCCTGTCCCTTTGTAGCACAAAATAATAGATTTAGGGTCTTTCTCTTACCCAAGAAACAAGGGTCTCAATAAGGCACTTTAATAATAATAATAATAATAATAATAATAATAATAATAATAATAACACTGTATGTACAATAAAGCCTATTTTTACAACAAACAAAAAATCACATTTATACACACAATATATACAGGACTATTTTCAGGATAGGTGTCCTGTGATTTTATTTCCTTTTTTGCTAGTTTATGTCAAAATGACTTTTAAAAGGGAATATATTCTTTTTAAATAGGCAGGATTTATGAAGGAGTTTGTCTTTTGCTTGTCAAGGAGAGGTGTGAACTGG